ATGGTTATCCGATCCTTGCCGTGTTTCATCGCCAGCTGTAACATCTGTCTTTTCCTCGGGCCGAGCAGTAACAACACTCCCTGCGGTGCTCCTTCTGGCCCGGTGGCTGCGGCTTTAGGAGTGTGTTTTTGTGCTGCAGAGGCGTTTTTTTGAATACTCCGGAGGTGTTTGGTCTCCATGCGAACGCCGAGATCGGCTACTACACACACGCGGTTCGTGACATGTGGTCCCATCTTCTGGAACTGCAGCCTCAAACGGGTATGTCCTCCGTTGCTGTGAGGTGGTAGGTTAGGAGTAATGAGGCGGTGAGCTCCTGGCTGTGGGGACGGTGCTGCCAGCCCACCTCGGCCTGCCCGCTGTGGGCACCACAGCCCGCTGCACCAGGGCAGCCTCGGGGGAGAAGTGGGTGATCCAGAGGGCATGGTGGGATCGTGTCGTGGCCATGGGGAGTAGAGGCAGCAAAACAGTCGAGACTGGGAGGCGGGCAAAGTGCCGGCCCTGCCAGCACGGCCCCTGTTCCGCAGTCCTGTGGTGCGGAGGGTGAGTGAGGTCGTAGGGAATTAACCGCAGGAGGGGGACCCTACGCGGCTTTAGCGTCACTAAACCATTTCTGTTTCAGGGGAGAGTGGGACAGGAATTAGCCGGGATGAATATATTGCCAACGTTGCTAAGGATATAGAGAACAAAATGCCGCAGGTGTTCGATGTTGACCGGATACGGAAAGGCTTTGGACCAGACGTAGCCCCTACGACTGTAGTGCTGCTGCAGGAACTGGAGCGCTTTAATAAGCTGATCGTTCGAATGGCGAAGTCGTTGGCTGAGCTGCAGCGCGTAAGTAGGAGCGAGCACAGCCAGCGGGGGCCATCAGTCAGGCTGGCCCTGCTCCGGGCTGCCGCTCAGACCCACCCTCCCTCCAGGCCTTGGCTGGGGAAGTTGGAATGAGCGCGGAACTGGAAGAGGTGGCCCAGGCTCTCTTTAACGGGCAGATTCCTGGAATCTGGCGGCGGCTAGCCCCCGACACGCTCAAAACGCTTGGAAATTGGATTCTTTTCTTCAGCGCCCGCTATAACCAATACAACAGCTGGGTGAGTGCCTCCCCGCAGCTCTTTGCTGTGTTGCGCAGCATGCTGGGCTGTGCGGATCGGTGCATGTCAGCGAACACATGCTGCTTCATGTCGCTTACTTCGCCTAATGCAGGTCGCCACCCAGCACAATGATCCATCCTTGCGTGGCAATGCGAGACACGCAAGCTGCTGGCTCGTCCTCAGGAGCACCGGCCTCTGGGCGAGTCCCAGGGGTGGCGGGAGAGCCGGGCGCTGCAGGTTGTGTTCTCTGGTTGCAGGTTACGGAGCACGAGCCCAGGGTGATGTGGCTCTCCGGCCTGCACGTCCCAGGATCCTACCTGACAGCTCTTCTCCAGGCTGCCTCCAGGAAGAACAAATGGCCCCTGGATCGCTCCACCCTCTACACGGAGGTCACCGCGTACAGGACTGCGGACAACATCGACGAGGGGTTGACTCAAGGTAGGCGTTTTTGTGGCTATTTGGCAGAAACAACGCAGTAGTTAATTGGGGAGAGAGCGAGCAATTGCTTGGTGTACGACTGCATCCCCGCAGGCAGTACCCCAGGGTACGCGCTGCCCATGGTCTCGGGCTGGGAAGGAGCTGGCTTCGGATTTCTGCTCCCCCAGCAGGATCTTCCTCCTTCAGCTCGTCACACGTTGAGCTTCCGCCTCTCCCTCGCTCCCTCTTCTCCCACGATGTCACAGTCTTCGGGGGGCTGGAGCCTCACCCCTCCCTGCGGGTTGTAATGGTTTGAAGGGGATGTACAAGCACAGCGCTGTACGGTGGGTTGGGTAAACGCCCCTATGAAAGCTCTAGGATTGCTAACGGTAACGGGCGCTGGGTGACGGGACAGCTCAGCCGTGCTTCCGAGGGCCACACCTGATGGGAGCGGAGGAGGAAAAGAAAGATCTGGTGGGTTTTGCTAAACCTGACTTTCAGTTAGAAGTACATCCCCTTGAGGGCTTACTTAGACTGTTATTTACTATCATTTCATCAAAATGCTCTGTATTTGGGCCTGACTATCCCGGCCCCTCCCTCTCGTCAGCCGTCCCACAGGAGCCAAGAAGCTCTCTTAGCCTTGGCTGGCACCTGGGAAAGTGCTTGGCAGATGGCTTCCGCCACAGGGAAAAGGCGGCCAGCTCCCGCTGTGGGGAGAAGGCCTGCAAGCGAATCCCTATCTGTTCCCAGTCACGTTTATCGTATGCGCTCCAAGCGAGACAGCCTTAAGCTGGGGCAAATGAAAGGCGGGAGGTAAACCCAGACACCGCAGGTAACTGTACTGGCGCGTAGCCGCAGCGTGCTGGAGCGAGCGGTCGGGGCAGCCGTCGCAGGAACAGCCGCTGCCTGAAACCGGCGTCGCTGTCGCTCCCTTCACCCGAGACGTTGGTTTGTGTCTCCACAGGCTGCTTTGTGTCTGGGCTGTTTCTGGAGGGGGCGGACTGGGACGCGGAGCATGGCTGCCTTGCCAGAAGCCAGCCTGGCGTTCTGGTGGTGGAGTTGCCCATCCTGAGGATAATCCCCACGGAAGCACACAGGCTCAAGCTCCAGGTACCGCTCCTTAACCCTCCTCGGTTCTCGCAGCCGGCAGCCCCTTCCCCCTCGGCATAAACAGCCACGTTCCAGCACCAACCCGCCGTGACACCGCTCGTACCTCAGCCACCCAAGCTTTTCTGTCTCGGGGGTGATGCGCCAAGGGGTAATCCACCTCCTGCCTCCACTGAGGGACACTCACAATCCCACCGCTCTCTCCGCCGTTTCCCGTTATCAGTTAATGGCATAAGGGATGTTTAGGTTTCGGGTACCGGCTAGTGAAGACGTGCACCAAGGGACATGAGCGTGGGACGGGGCCCTCCCTGCTCCTCAGCCCCGGCAGCACTGCTCAGCACCCTCCTCTCTCCGTGCTCTTTCAGAACACGCTCCGGACGCCCGTGTACACAACTGCCCGCCGACGGAACGCCATGGGTGTTGGCCTTGTTTTTGAAGCGGATCTCCACACCACGCAGCACCTTTCCCACTGGGTCCTGCAAGGCGTCTGTCTCACGCTGAACGCAGACTGACCGGCCCACGGTGCGTTTTCCCCGCAGCCTCTGGCTATCAGGGGGGAGGGAAGAGG